CTTTTCTTTCTTTGCTTCACTTTTGATCTCAATATTTTTAGTACATTTGTGTTTGTACCATGAGGTTGAAAGTGCTGATGATCAATTGATCAGCACACATAGAGAAGCCTTGGAAATCATTATAGGTGGAGGTTCTCCTCCTACCCCTTCTCCTGAATTTGAAAATTGCCCTCCTCCTCTTCCCCCTCCATGCCCTCCGCCACCATCACCGCCACTTCCACCACCATCACCGTCACCACCTCCACTAATGCCACCACCATCACCTCCACCACCATCACCGTCACCACCACTGCCACCTCCACCATCATCACCGTCACCATTGCCGCCACCTCCACCACCCCCAAAATGTCCGCCACCACCGCCAAAATGTCCTCCACCACCTCCCCCAAAACCGTTTGAGAGCAAGCGAATTGAACTTGCCTTCCATGTGTTTCAAAATTTCAGTCGCTTAATCAAGGATGACCCGAAAAACTTCGCAAAGTCATGGAAGGGCACTGATGTTTGCAAGTACAAGGGCGTTGTCTGCGCTATTCATCCTGACTACAAGCAGAAGGCAGTTGCTGGTTTAGACATCAATGGCGCTCTGTTTGGCGGTCGTAATGCTAAACTCCCCCTGGATGGCTTCCTTGACAAGTTAGAGGACTTGGCTTTCTTCCACGCAAACTCCAACAATTTCACAGGCTCAGTACCAAAAGCCGTTTCCAAACTAAAATTCTTCTACGAGCTTGACCTCAGCAACAACAAGCTAATCGGAGGCTTCCCTAATGAAGTTCTTGCGGCCACAAACTTGACATTTTTGGACCTCCGGTTCAACTCCTTCGCAGGTTCAGTCACACCGGAAGTCTTTAAACTAGATGTTGATGTGCTCTTCCTCAACAACAACAATTTCAATCAGAAGATTCCTGACAATCTTGGTTCCTCGCCAGCCCATTACTTCACTTTCGCTAACAACAAGTTCACTGGTCCAATCCCAAGAAGCATTGGCCAAGCATCCAAAACCCTTTTTGAGGTTCTCTTCCTTGGGAACAGCCTTACAGGTATGCTTCCAAATTTCTATAATATCCTGGAATTTTCCCCCATTTTCTCTGTTTTAAGTACCCAAAATACAAAGAAACTAAGGATAACACTATTTTGCTTGAATATGATAACACTAATCTAATGATATGTTTGGTGCTATACATAATTAAAGACTGGATTAAATGAAATATGCTATTACATAACCTAATGGGATTAAACATAATCTAATTGGTTGGCCGTTGGATCAAATTGGTTAGTTTGATCTAACGATTCAGAGATAAGGCCCTCATTATAGAATGACTCAATCTCATCCACCTTAATCTCGACCTTTTGATTGGATTTATAATCCTACTATATTTGGGCCTACGAGACATAATCCAATCCAAGTTGTCTTTAGGCCACCAAACATCTAACTAGATTGTGGATCTTATCCAGTTATATAATCCAACACACCAAATAGATACGTAATCCTATATGTAAAATAGATTGGTAACCAGTACTAGACAATTACTTCCGATTTCATTTATTATCCCTCAATATATAATACCTTTGATATTTTCTTGGACACCGACATTTAATACCTTGCTTTTTCAGGGTGCCTGCCGTATGAAATTGGATACTTAAACCAGGCCACGGTGTTCGATGTGAGCTCCAACTACTTAACCGGCCCAATACCACACTCATTCAGCTGCTTGGCCAAGATTGATTATCTAAACTTGGCCAGCAACAGTTTCTATGGACCAGTGCCAGAGCAGGTCTGCACCTTGTCTAATCTGAGGAACTTGTCCTTGGCCAACAACTATTTCACAGAGGTCGGCCCAGAGTGCAGGAAATTGATCAAGAAGAAGTTTCTTGATGTTAAGCATAATTGCATTTTGGGCGAACCAAGCCAGAAAACAAAGGCTCAATGTGCTGCCTTCTTCTCCAAGCCTAGAAAGTGCCCCAACGAGAAGGAAATGACCTACGTGCCTTGTAAAAGACACTGGGGTTCAAATGAGAAGAAGCCTGAGCATCAGAAACAAGCTTCTGCCCCATTGTCTTATGGCAGTCTTGTGCCACACAGGCTTTGATTGATTTCATGCTGGAATTGGGCTCGTGGAAGATGATGAGCTAGATGGGTCCTTTGTTAATTTATGCATATATATTTGTATATTTTCTTTCTTAATGATTTTATGGAGCAATGTAATAACCTGCATTGTAGCCCTAATTTAAGCATACAAGTTTATAGAATAACGAGGTTATTACTACTTGTTCTGATTATTTTTTTTCGATGAGATCATTTTTATTGGGGCGGCTCTCTTATATGATTTATTGAATTAATGTCATGTGATCAAATATGAATGCTGAAACTGCTTTCCATGGTCGCTTGTACTCATGTCCCTATGCCCTGTTCTATCCAATTTGTCCTCTCTTAGAACTAGTAGTAGTTGAGGGATTACATATTTCTGGCTGGATGTGGCGGGACTTTTAGTTGAGAAAGTTCGCCTGTCATGTGCTCACACACAACTAAAATATTAGAATTTAACTTGAATTGTCTATTGCATACGTAAGTTAGGCCAATTGATTAAGACATTGTACTCGCCCCAGCATTCAAGTTCAAATCTTCATTTCTGTAAATTAGGTTATTAATTTAAAAAAAATTGGACTATCACTTGTTTAAAAATAATAATTAGGATTGACTATTCTTAACACCAATCTACCTCAGTCTAACCTTCTCTTTTGAACCTTCTCCCTTCTCCTTATGACAAGTGTCACTTTCCTTACACTTAAAACAATAATGTCATTATGCATCACACAAGTTAGTTTTTGTTTTCCAAGTTTACCCTTTTAAAATGTATTAGCTTTTACATTTCCTTCAATTTATCCAAATTTTGTTACAACTTCTTTAGCACATTGTTAAAAATTAAATAATTAAAAAAAAACGTCATATTTAAAAAATAAAAAATAAAGCTTGTTTCATGACATTGTTATCATCTTTATTTTGTTTTTAACAAAACACACGTTCTCTTTGGAAATTTTTTTTTTAAAAAAAAATTTTCAGTTTTTATTTTCTTATTGAACTTTTAATAAGGTGGTAAGAAAGTTGTAAAAAAATTAGTTTGTTATTAAAAAAATTAATGCATTTAATAAGGGTAAACTTTGAAAACAAAAACTAGTTTGTGTGATGCATTAATGACATTGCATTAAGTGTAAGGAAAGTAACACTTGTCATGAGAAGAATGGAGAATGTCCAAAAGAAAAGGTTAGAGAGAAGGTTGCTAGCATTTCCCTATTATATATCTCTTATTGTTTCTAACTACTCTTTTGTGGATCCCATGGCCGGTACTATCTTTTTATGGTGTTCTTCAATTTTGCCTACAATTGACACATAGTCGTTGTTTAGGGGTAAAATGAAAATTTTACAAATTCAAAAAGTCATAAAGTGATTGACTTGTGACATGAAATTAGTACTACATAGAACCTTATTGATTAATTGAAAAAAAAAATTATGACCATTGTTTTTTTCAAATATTAAAAAAGAATCCTAAATATATAATGCCGCAGATAATAAAATAGTTAATTGTTAGTTTTATTTTTCATAATTTTTCGGGGTTTTTTTTTTAATATAATTTTAAAATTGCATTTTGTATTGTTTTAAAAGTAGATAAATCATAGGGGCAAAATTTGAAATCCAGCTCAGTCTCTCTCTCCCGATGTCCTCTCTCTCCTCCCTCTAGCTTCTCTCTCTTTCCCTCTGCCCTCTCCCTTTGTTCTCTCTACCCCTCTGCTCTCCCTCTCCCTTAAACATATAGTCTGAAAGTTAATTAGCTTTCTAAAAAATTATATCAAAAGTTTGTTTGATCCAAATGATTAAGCCATTTAGTGCAAAAGAATTGAAACAGAGGCAACAAATGATTATTTAGGTTTTATGGGCTGTAGAGGCTACAAAAAAAACAGAGGGAGAGGGAAAGCACACACAGAGAGAGAGAGAGAGAGGCTAAATGGTTTTTTAATGGATTTTCATTAAAAAAATATTTCTTTATTTATTTAATCCACATGTCACGATGTGATTGGACATGTGAGCTCCACTTATCTTCCACATCAGACACTTAACATAATTTTTGACGGTAGGGACTATTTGTGATAAAAAGTCCAAATGTTAAGACTATTAGTGTCACAAAAAAACCTCAAGGACCATTTGTTATAATTTCGTAAACGTTAAGGATCATTTGTGATAAAAAGCCTATTAAAAAAGAATCCTATATATATAATGCCGCAGATAATAAAATAGTTAATTGTTAGTTTTATTTTTCATTATTTTTTGGGTTTTTTTATATAATTTTTAAATTGCATTTTGTATTGTTTTAAAAGTAGATAAATCATAGGGGCAAAATTTGAAATCCAGACCAAAAACTTCCATGAGCAGGTTCAGGAGTGCGGTTGAGTGATCTGCCCTTTCATGTCGCGATAGGATCCCTCTTAACTTTTTCAGTTACTTCATGAGGTCACACCCATGACGTGCAAAATCAAGGACTAATCTTTGGGTGGGGAAGATCATACTTTTTTCTTTTTTTTGATGGAACAGGGGGGAAAGAACCCAAGACCATACTTTTTTTTTTTTCTGGGTCTGAACCATGAGGTGGTTCTGGATGGGCTCCAACTATGGGTGGCACCTTTAAGCCTTAACCACAACCCAGACTAATCCCCACTCACACCGGGTCGGCCCGTAAGGGGTAAAGTGTTGGCCAAAGTGGTGACT